AGACTGGAGAGATGGCTCAGTGGTTAAGAGCACTGGCTATTTGGCTATTTTTTCAGAGAACGATGGTTCAGTTCTCAGCACCCATATAGTGGCTCAAAACTGCCTCTTTGAAAAAAAATGGCTCCCCAATGAGTGGCACTATTAGGAGGTGTGGCTTTGGTAGAGTGGGTATGGCCTTGTTGGAGGAAGTGTGCCCCTGTGGAGGTGGGCTTTGAGTTCTCATATATGCTCAAGATACTTCCCAATGTCTCACGTTACCTCCTGTTGCCTGTGAGTCAAGATGTAAGAACTCTTAGCTCCTTCTCTAGCACCATGTCTGCCTGCATGGTGCCTTCCTTCCCACCATCATTATAATAGACTGAATCTCTGAAACCTTAACTGAGCCACCACAGTTAACTCTTTCCTTTATAAGAGTTTCTGTGGTCATGGTTTCTCTGCCCTGGAATAGAAACCCTACCTAAGACACTCCTGTTCTGATACCCTCTTCTGACCTCCCTGGGGACCAGGCCTATACTTGGTAAACAGACTTACCTGAAGACGAAAACATTTATACAATGAAAATAAATTAAGATATAATCAAACAAATAATATACTATAAGCCAAATGTGGTGCACATTCATGAAATCCCATAGTGGGCCAGGCGATGAACAGCTCAAACAAGTAGCATCCTAACGCATATTAAACCAACTTTCTTGCTGGTTGGATATGAAGATTGTATAGTTACCAATGTTTACACGATGGCCATGTATGTCTGCTGCAGGGTTTTTATTAAAACATTTTTGCCATAGCAATTGTGCTCACTGTCTTGTCCATCTAGACAAGTGTTTATGTTGGCGATGTAGAATTTCTGCATCAAAGGGGAAGCACATGTAAAAGTATAACTTTACAGGGCTGTCTCACTGAGTTAGAGTTTCATCAACAGCATAACGTCTTCCCCTGCACCCCACTTCTTGTTTTATCTGCATTGTCTTTCTGTCCATTCTGGATTTTTTATTAATTGGGTGGAATACACCATAGTAATTTTGAGGATTTTGCATTAGAATCAGATATGTTGGAGTTGGCTTAAAATCCCTGGGTAATTAGTGCTCATAGAGTCTGGGATCACAGTTGAAGACCAATATTTCTTTAAGTTTCTAAAATTGGCAAGATTTTTATTTTCTCCCTCTCCTCCTCTTCTCTTTCTGTTTTTCCCTCATATACATACTTGAAATTACCTTAATAGTGTACTTTGCAGTAAGTCAAATTATTTCTGCTCAATTTTATTCAACAGAAGATTTTGAAATAGCCAATTTACCTGTAATTGTGAATGCAGGTTTTTTTTCTTTTGGTTTCTTTTTTTGTGTGTAAATATTGCTGAACACTGGGTTAAAAAAACAACTCTTAAAGTTATCTATAACATACCATAATTGATGAAATAGAAACATTGCTCCAGTAATTTTTAGTGTATTTTAGTTTCCAGATGTTTATCAACTTGGAGTGTAGTAAGCAATTGTTCAACCATTACTCTGAAAATCTGCAAAAAAAATTGCTGTATAAGCTAACGGACATATTACATTAAGAGATAACTCATGCGGGAATTCTTAGGACAATTTAAATTATGATGAATGAACATTTTTAGCCCAGTTTATGGTGATTTATCTGCCGCCTCCTCTCGAGTGCCTCTACTTCTGGTCTTGTTACATGGCCAATCCCTTTATTGGTTATGTGTGTTACACATTTTTCAAACTGTTATATGTGAACCTGTGTCAGCATTGTTTGTTATAGTCTTCTATTTATTTCTTTTTAAATGCAATTTTATTTGTATACTTGTGAAATTTGAAACTATTTTTGTGAATAAAGCTTTAAGAAGTAAAGAATACTTTGTGGTACCTTATGGGCATTAAATTATTTCAAAATGGTTTTCTTTTTCCCTTCAGATGGAATAAATCCCTATTCCTATGTACATAATGAGAGGGTAGTCTGTACATTTCCTCATCATTATTCTAGCTCAGGTTTCCATTTAAAACATTAATAAACATAGATAAATGTAGTTACTAAGGGTTGCACTTTTCATAAGCTGCCCTAAATCCATCAAATCAAATATAGTTGTTAGAAATAACAAATATTACAACTTTTTGATTGACAAAAATAACTGGAATCTTAGCTGAGCTGGATTTGTTAATGTATCCTTATGTCTCGTCCTTTGAAGCTGACCTCTGAATGCTCATTGCATTTGAAGCTTTTGTTAATCCAAAGAACATCACACACGTTCTCTTCTCACTGTATTTTCTTCTGCTGCAAAGTGGGCTTGGATGCCTACCAAATGTAAATGTGCCTATTTGCTTATGATGTCACCGGGGAGCAAAACCATTTCTCATACATGCTAGGTCAGCACTCTATCCCCGAGCTCCACCCCTGGCTCTTAAAAAGACTTAATTGTTCAAGTCAGTTGATCTTTGCTATGTAATATTGTGTGGTAAATTGATATCATTCTTCTTGTTAATCTTCATCAACTACACATAATTTTTTACTTTTTATATTGCTTTAGTAAATAAATTTTTACATAAAAGAGCTCATATACTTGTTAATTTTGTTTATGGAGAATTACTTTTTATTCTCCTAGGGTAATTACTGATCGTTTACCATCTGTTTCTATTAATCAGTCTTTTTATTCTCCCTAGTCAGTGATATTAGACTCCATTTCATGTGAGATCATTTTTCCCTCCTTACTTATGATGATTTTGACATGTAGGAAATGTGCCACAAATTCTGTGGTCTTCTGAGAGTTATATTGTTGGCATAATATGAACCTGGCTTCCAGTCCTTCTTATTGTTACTATTATTTTTAGTGGTTAGTGAAATTAGCCATCCTTTTAGTTGTTTTTATTAAACAAACAAACAATAAAACTCTTGTTGTCATTTAATGTTTCATAGTAGCTCATAGTAGTTCTTTTCTAAGAATGTAACCTTTTATATTTTTTGAAATTCTAACAAAACCCCAGAAAACTGTTCAGTAAATGCTGAATGTGTTCATGTATTATGGGAAAGACCACATGTAATTATTAAATTGCTAATTGTTTAATTACTCCATCGGTAAAGAAGCTCAAGCTAAAATTGAGTGTGTTTTGCCCACTTGGCTTGTGTTTTATTTATATGTAACAGGGAACATGGAAAATAGACTTTAATTGGAGATTTTGTGCCTGTCCATAGGATCAGTTAGATGTCCATTACATTATCTTTCCTGCTGTTAACACATCAAAATATTGTGTTAAATATTCTAAATGTTCTGAAGTATATCGCTAAATTTGCACACACACACACACACACACACACACACACACAAAGGCAATAGGATGGTTTTAAAATAAAGAAGTAGGTCAACAGGATAGTTGGTTTCTTCTGAAACCATTCCTGTCCCAGACATTTTCGCTAATGATTTAGTGTGGAAGACATGGGAGTTTTAGTCTAGGAAAGCAGTTGAATGCTGTAAATTGTACTTCAGCTGTTTTATTAGGAACCTGGAAGACAGTGCCATTGAGAGAGGGAGAACCTGCAGATAGGAATAAGACTATTAGTAACTGGACAACTACAAGCTATTGATGTAGTATTTTGGCAAATGATTTGATCGAGTTCCATCTCTTGCCTGAGACTAATTTCTTAGGTGGAGGAAGTTTCAAGACAGCATACATTGGGTATATGGCATCATCATTACTTGTTACTCTTATATACATCTACAATGAATAAGTAACGAATATACTTAGTGGCTTTGCGTTTAGCAGTTGTGTAGAGGCAGAAGGCAAGCCTCAGATGTATTAACGGTCAAGAAATTGCCATAATATCCTGTTAAATCGCCAATATCTTGCATCTACTCCTACTCCATAGGATAAAAAGTTTGATCTGAAGCCCTAGGGCAAGGATTTTTTTAAAAGAAAGAAATGAAGCCAAGATTGTCTTAATTCAACACGATCAAAACTCTATAAACTCACAGAGAGCCTGCAGCATGCACAGGGCCTGCAGAATTCTGTACCAGGCCCCTTTATGTTGGTATTACGGCTTCCAGTTGAGGGCTTTTATGGGATTCCTGAGTGTGCAAACAGAGTAGGGCACTGTTTCTTTGCCTACTCTTGGGCTCTTTTCCTCCTGTCCAATTCCCACATGTTAGTTTTTGATTTATCTTATTTTAAAAGGAAGCTTTAAAAATTGTAGCAACAAAACGTCATAAAAGTCCCTTCGTGAAAACAGAATAATAGTTTAAAACAATAACATTAAAACTAATGGTATTGGCATACATTATTATTGATAGTGGGATACTAATTATTACATTCATATTTGACACGATTGAAGGGAGATTTTCTAAATTGAAAGATAGAGTTGAAATCATGTGTCACATACAGAAGGAAAGCAAGAATGAAACATTTGGAGAATGGTTGAGGACAGGTGAGACTCTCCACAGGTATGTTTCACTGAAGGATGGGAAATAATTCGGTTAAGATAACTAACAATCATCCAGAACCTGAGCACAGTTCGCTTAGGCACAGTTTGAAGCCCAGAACATCGGCGAGAAAAGGAAAACAGTCAGTGTTTCTGGAGAGAAGACAAACAAGGCACAGAACAACAAGACAGGCTGTCACCTGAAAGTACCACTGTTCCCAGTGGGAGTTCAAAGCCAGCATGTGAATGTAGCCAGAGCAACTGACTGTCAAACGCTGTGTCCTGCTCCCTGCCTGAGCATGGACCTGTCTTCTCTTATAAAAGAGGAAAAGCTCATTGTAGGATAGCCTAGTGCCACTCTCTCCACTTCTGTTCAGAGGGACGGAGAAAGATGCAGAGTGTCTCTGGTTGTTCTGTCCTCTATGTAGGGTCACTTGTAATAATGACAGAAGTGTCATAAGGTGAATCTCATGATCCAGGGGTCAGCATGTCTGTATTCAGAGTGTTGGCTTTTCAGTGACGTTCACAGGAGAGACGTTCCTGTGCTTTGCCAGTTGTACTGAAATGATTTGTGTTCTTTTTGTTTGAAGCTCTTTTCAGAGCCTGTGCGGACGGTGGTGCCAACTGCTTGTATGACCTCACCGAAGGAGAGAGAGAAAGGTATGCTCCTGCGAGTCAGGTCTGGGTGCCCCTCGCTTCTGCTACTCCAGAGTGTCAATCTTTCTATGGCGGCTTTTTATTTTCCTTCATATTCATTATAGGAAATGGCCTCTATGAGAAGAACTGAGCGGCATAACCACGATGTGTTATTTCTTTGGTTGGATGAGATTTGTTAGAATTAGGATCATCTGTATTCTTCTCTTTAAGATCCTATTCTATTACTTTAAAGCCTCATTAAGTCACATTACCCAATATTGAAACTTGTGAGGACTTTGAAGATTGGCTAAAATAAAACCTCAAATGGGTATTTATGTTGGTATTAAAATACTTTAAATGAATAAAAACTGGACTCCTAGGAAAGAAATATATATTCTGCTGTAGTAGAAAATGTGAGATTTTATATTAGTGTTGAATAAATCTCAGTAGGACTTACTCTTTCTTAATTACTTCTGAGTCACATACATATATTTTAGGAGAGAGTTTATTTAATGGTTTGCTTTCTGCATTGGCTTGTTTTCCTGAATCTTGTCTGGTGCAATATTTTTCATCGAGAGAATATGTTTGATAGAAACAGATTTTCAACTTAGTTCAGTTGTGAACATGTTTGTGGCCCAACTCATTTGGAAACACAAGATTCCGTGGTGTAGATGTGAACACACCATTTGTGAAATGGAGTTCAGTCATTCTTATATGTGTTAGTAGCTGTATTGAAATGGTTGGCATTTGAGAAATTGCCTATTTGCTTCCAAAACAAAAATAAAAATATTGTAGCATAACAGGCCCTGTGTGGGCATTAAACATATGTGGTTTAAAATCATGTATTTCTTCTTATGACATCAGGATGTTTAACTTCAGCTTTCTAATACCAGAGCTGCTGTTGAGAGCAGCTGGTTGCTTTCTTTGGAGAAGTTGTGTCTTCTTTGAGATCGGGTGCTGTTTGCTAACATGTGGAGACTAGATGCAGTTGTCAGAAAGACAGTAATAATGACAGCCTGGAACAGTTAAATTTCATTTGCTTATTTATTGCACAACTTTACAACTTCCTTTAGCAGTATACTCTAAATCCTGACATGGACAATGTGTGAAAACCTTCCAAGTTGTTTTAGAAAGTGTCTCAGCACACGGCTCAGAATAGGGTGTTATGTCACGGGGCCTCAGGTTATCAATTGGGCACTGTTTATCCCATGCCTGTAGCCTGGTTGCTATCACTATTTGTCTAATGGTAGGCACAGCTCAGAATTAAAAGTAAGACTTGGGAAGTTATTAACCCACCACTTTTTGGTTGTCCCTTAGTTATGAGAGCCATCTAGAATGCTTTTGAAAAATTGCAGATGTCTGTATTGATTACTGTAGTTGATTTAAGCAGACACTGGTAGCAAAGACAATAGAAAAAAGATAATAGGATTAGTAGCTTTTAGAAACATTATTCTTGCTGCTGTTTTAATTCATTTCAAAATAATCAAATCAAGTATTCCTCATCCTATTTATAAATCAATTTTTGTTTGTTTGTTTTGTCTTGTCTTTCGAGACAGGGTCTCTCTACATAGCTCTGGTTGTCCTGGAACTCACTGTGTAGACCAGACAGGCCTTGAACTCACAGAAATCCATCTGCCTCTGCCTCCCAAGTGCTAGAACAAAAGCATTATTCCCGGCCGTGTTTACACGTAATCTTAGAAAAGACATTCAAAAGTGCATATAATTTATCTTGCAACTGTTTGTCTACACATGAAGATGTTTAGAGAAGCAATGTAGCTAATTTTCATTGATTTTGGGGGGCTTAATGATTTTTGATCTGATACCTTGGGAAATGGCTGGCCTGGGGAAGGATAGAGTCCATAGCAGTGATCAGTGGAACTAATTCCTCCTCACATGGGAGTTAAACACTTGGAATAAATCTCATTACTTCCAAGCCCTAATGAGTAAAAAGCCAAATTTCAGTTTGTGGGCTTAGGCTGGCCTTGTTTTCATGCTTATTCATTAACAGCCACATCTACACCGTAAAGTCTGTAATTATGCAAGAGAAGTGGTCTTTTAAAGAGTCATCCCCAGCCGAAGATACCATGAAACATTTATACACTTGAAGAAGAAGAAAGAAAGACTGATGAGGTTGAAGCAGGTTTGCTAAGGGCGGCACCGAGCAAGTTACCTCTGGACCCTTCTCTCTGTTCAGAGGTGAGGCCTGAGGTGTTGTCCCCGCCTCTTGACATTCTGCCTCTGTGCATCAGTCTAGGTTAAAGTTAGCCCCTGTGGAGTAAGGGAACTGGCAGCTTCTAAACAAGAAGTGAGTTCACTTAGGGCTTGGCTAGGCCTGGCAGCTGCTCCTGCTCCTCCACAGAACCCCAGAGAGGGAAGATTGAGGGGGGCAGGGAAGGCAGGGTGGAGCCCTCTGGGAGTCTCTGGAGGATGTAGTGCCCTAGCTAGGTACTGGGCTGAGGCCATGCTGAGGGGAGACAGCAGATTACCAGAGAAGCTGAAGGAGAGGAAGTTGAAGCACCAAGGGCAGACATGTTGCACAGTAGTGACACTAGAGTCGTGGTTTGATGCCTCTGAGATGCGCTGAGGAAGGAAGAAAACTCAGAAGTAGCTGCTGGCTTTAGCTGTTTCGGTTTGGAGAAATACAGTGTCTGCAATAGTAGACAATACAAGCACAATAGTTATTGTGGAGCGTAGAAAATACACAGTTAGGCACAAGAAATATACCTTATGAGAAAGGAGTTATATCTAATCTTCTCTCGTTACCTAATTTTAGAATATTGGTCTAATAATGTGAAACCTTGAAAGGCAGATTATGGTACTCAGACAGGGTGTGGCACTATGCAGCCTGTGTTAGCCCTGTCAATTGTATAGCCCAGGCTGGTATTGAACTGGAAATCTTCCCACTGGTGGCTCCAGTTCTGCTCTGGTACCTTACCCTTCCACACAACCTTTATTTTGCTTTTTGTTGTCATCAGAGCAGTGACCGTGAGACTTCCCTTCCACACACTGCTAAGCTCACAGTTCGGTGCTGTTGAGTGTGGACACACACCGTAGTGCAGGCTTCTGGGCTTATTTCTCTTGCTTCCCTGCCGTGCCATTGTTGCTACTCTGTCTTGAGCTCCTAACCCCTGACATTTTCAACTCAGGAAGCTTCAATTACCCACTCTGTCCGTGTATTTCAAATGCTTTATGTATGTGTAATCATGGCGTGCCTGGAGTTCTTAGTAAATACCATCTCGTGTATTCACCAGCCTTTGCTTCAGTCTTCAAAAGCAACTTACCTTCAATTATCAGATTCTGTTTTGATCAAAAGTAAAAATCAAACACATTTTCTATTGTGAAAGCAAAGAATGATAATCAGTATGATAGTGGGTAGGAAGAAACAAAAAGAAAAAGAAAAAGGTATCTGTATTTCTTCCTAAGAAGCAGAGAGTCTCATTGAGTCTGTCTATCAATTCTACCCTTTGAGACAATAGAGAATAGTATTCACTCGCTTGCAGTTACTTGTTCAGGTGAGTGTAAACTTGATACACAGATTCCTTTCTTTGAAAGTGTCCCAGTCATATCAGATAATGATTTTTTTATAGTTAATGGAATTTATTCATTTCTTTTACATCTTGACCACAGTTTCCTCTCCCTTCTCTTTCCCATCTCCCTCCCACCCCTATCCACTATCTTCTGTTTCTGTTCAGAAAGGGACAGGCCTCCCATGGGTGTTGACAAAGCATGGCATTCCAAGTTGAGGTATGACTAAGCTCCTCCCATTGTTTTAAGGCTGGGCAAGGCAACCCTGTATGGGGAGTAGGTTTCTGGAAGCCAGCCAAAGCATTAGAGACAGGTCCTGTTCCCACCAGTAAGAATCCCACAAGAGGATCAAGCTACATATCAAGCTACACATCAGTCTACACACACACACACACACACACACACACACACACACACACACACACATCAGTCCCATGTAGGCTCTCTAGCTGTTTGGTTTGCACTCTGAGCTCCTGTGAGCCCTGGTTAGTTGTTTCTGTGGGTTCTCTTGTGATGACCTTGGCTACTGCTCGTTTAATACTTCCCTCATTTCAGCAAGATTCCTAAAGCTCAGCCCTATGTTTGACTGTGATATCTGCATCTGTTTCCATCATTTACTGGATGAAGGCTCTCTGATATGATTGGGGTAGTTACCAGTCTGATTACAGGAGAAGGCCAGTTCAGGCTATCTATCCACTATTGCTAGGATTCTTAGCTGGGGTCATCCTTGTAGATTCATGGGAGTTTCCCTTGCACCAGGTATCTACCTGACCCAAAACTGTGCCCCATCAAGATGTCTATTTTATTACTCTCCCCCTCTATCCATGCTCACAACCCAATCCCTCCTGTTCCCATCCCCACCAACCCCCAGTCTACCTAGGAGGTCTCTTCTTTTTCCCAGGGAAATCCATGTGTTCCTACCCCCTCTGGGCCTTTTTCATTTCCTAGCATATCTGGGGCTGTGGATTGTACCATGGTAATCCTTTAACTGATATCCACATATGAGTGATTACATACTATGTTTGTCTTTCTGGGTCTGGGGTACCTCATTCAGGGTGTATAACATCAATAATAAGAAACCAGAGACAGCTATTGAGGTTCAAGCTGAAGATCAGAGAAGCAAAGCAGCCAACCACTAGAGAATTCTCACATCTGTCAATGCTCAGACCAAAGGGGCAATCCACTGAACCTCAGATTGCATCTCCAGACTGAACTGCTCCCCACCAAGTCTCAAAATCCTATACTGCTCCTGAGACTATACTGAGCTCCTTATGTACTCTTTAGTGCTGGAATTAAAGTTGTGAGCTCTGTTTCTTTTAGACTGATTCACTCTCATGTAGCCCTGGGTGACCTTGAATTCACAGAGATCCATCTGCCTCTGTCTCCTCTGTCCTAGGATCAAAGGTGTGTGCCACCACTGCCCAGCTTCTACAGCTAACTAGTGTGACTAGTTTTGCATTTTAATCTCCAGTGGTTTTATTCGATCATAAACAATATAT